GATACCCCTAAGTTAGCTTCCTAAGTCTTTAAATTTTAACAGCCGGTTAAAAATCGAAGTGGAATATAATTCAGTCCTCACAATCGCCTTTCTTAGCATACCCTGGGGATCTTAACTACTATATATAGGGGTACCTCTTCACTGCAGATAACTCTATCAACAACCTTGAATTTCAAAGTTTGATAATTGAAAAGAAAGGCAAAAAGAAAAATAACTTGAAAATTATTATAAAATGGAGAAATTAAATTGAAAATTGATATAGAAACTAATTTTTCGTAAAATAAGTTGATTAGGCTATTTTTAAATGCCAGCGGTAATCTAGCATAAGGTTTACAGTATTCTGTACCCAGTACTCCGTATATAATCTAAGAGATATAGATGGTCAAAGGTTAACAATGACAGAGTAGAAGCATACATCTCCTCAGATAAAAATATTCTTTCCAAATCACTCTTTCTGAAAGAAAGAATGATAAAATTCATCACCACTTCAAATGTAGCTATTTTGTGAATAACACACTTTACTGCCATAAAGCCAGTTGATTCTTCAAATACTCTTGCCAGCGAGCCTGCTAGCCACTGCAGAAGGCCATCCAGAGGACCCACACATGAACAAAGAGTGGGGGGATGTCAGCTCAATCCATCAAGACTGGACAGATGTTGAAAGGATTGTTCTTCTACACACTACACCCCTGCAAGACTTGATCACTCACAAGCAATCTGTCGAAGCCGCTGATTTGGATGAAGGAGGCGGGTGAGGCAGGATCTTGGTTTCAGCGGATTCAAGTGGCCAGGGACAAATATCCCTGGCCGTGTGTTTTTCTTTTTTGAACGCCGGCCGGGACGCAATCGGCGGGATCGTGTGCAAGCATGCTGGGTAGATCAAAATGGAGATTTCTCACAACGCGTGAGAAATTTGTCGTGAAATAGTATCCTGGGCGTCTACAGATATCAGATTGGGGAGCGATGCAGGAAGAATGTTGAGTGACCAGAGGCCTACCTGTGCGCCAGCTTGTTTGCTGGACGACAACAACCAGACATCAAGAGCTTTCGTGCAGGTTCACAATCTGTATGGTCTGAGAGATCAAGGATACCGATATCAAGGGTGTGAAATTAGGGGATCTCACATCATCCACAGCCGTTTTATTTTCTACTTTTGTTGCGGGATCGCCTCATCTAGCCAGCGTCCCATGTTGTCAGATATCTACCGATATTTGGGCCCGTCATACGATTTTCTTTTCTTTTTTGGCACACCTTGTTTCACATATGTTGAAGGAGATGTCCCCAGTTGGTGAGAGCAGTCAAACCCTTTCGGTGGCTCTTGTTACTTTTCACCTGTCGTGCAAACTTGCTACGACCCAGGTGAATGTCTGGAAGGTTCGTAGAGTCTCGTTTTCCATCCGTCTTTGCTTCCGCCGCATCCTGAACGAACAACGGAAAGGACACCATATCCATATACCCGCTTCGCCATCATGAGGCCATCGTGGTCTATCATCAGAGTTATTATTGCGTTTACAACATGCGCTGCAGATTCCCTCGTTGTGGCAACACACACTTGCCCTCGGCCCATGTGTTCATGGTGCATGGCTCCAGAAGAGGTGCATGCTGTGGGAATAGGATTTGACCTATCCGCATCTTACGGGTATGTTTCCTCCATGGGCTCATCGATACGCACTACGCAGAAATTTAGTTGAATAACGTCTTACCCCTCTCCAGAACGGCTGTTATTCGATACCACAATGGCTCCTCTGTCAATGTGGCCAAAATTGACGCTTCCATGGAGTACCGATCTCTGATGGAACAACTTTCAGAGAACGGCCGGCAAAGAGCACTCCCCCCTAGCCGCTCTGACTCTGTATGGGACGAGCCAGGCCATCTCGGGGACTCATCGCAGCGGCGGCTCCAAGCAACGTTGCCCGACCTCGATATTAGCGCCCTCTCCTCGCTCATTTCTCAACTGAAAACTGAGACCGAGAGACTGCTAGGCCACTCTATCCATTCCGTGGCCATCTCATCTCCAGGCTACCTCCAATTATCGGAGGCAGAGATCGCCCAGGCAATCGAGCACCTGGGACTGAAAAACATCGCCAGCGAATACGACCTGGCATTAACCTCCTCGGAATACACAGGCTACTCATTCGGCATATTCACCATCCCCACGACCGTGGATCCTTGCGAACAGACTCCAAGGCAACAAACAGAGCCCGAAACCGTTTTGCACCTTGACTACACAGAAGCCGCTCTCAGCGGATCAACCAGCAGCAGCACCCCGCAAGATACGATTCCGCGTCGCCGCACCGATGGCGTGTTCGCCGACTGGAACTTAGGCCTATCGAAGCGACCCCGATTCATTGAGGAGGATGCGTACTGGGATCTCCTCTGGCGTCGCATTCGAACCGAGGCCGAGAAATCCGAGGGAAAACTCACCGGGGTCATTATGACTGGCGACGCAATCTTCAGTGGCTCTAGATTTCTTGAGATTGCTCTGGATGCTCTGCGCGGGCTCGCAGAGCCATCCGCCATTCCGCAGGCGCCGGACCATACTCCAGATCTTGTATTCGCGGCAGCGAGGGGCGCAGCGGAGTTTGCGAAGAGAACGCAAGAGCGCCCTAGGGACTGTGTTGAGAGCGAGAGGTGTCGGAGTTTGAGGGGGTAGTTTTTTTTTTTTTTTTTTTTTTTTTTTACCTTTTCCTTTACTTTTTTCCAGGTGTTTACTATTATTGGTTTTATTATTATTATTATTATTTAAACTGGTTACTTGATTTACGCAGAGGAATATAAAATCAGTCGTTTTATTTATTTATCAGGCATGTAACTAATTTCTGGTCTGAGACGAGCAAGGCATGATTGTTTTTATACTCAATATAAAATAATGAACTCTGAACGTTGTCCTTGTATTAATTAGTATTAGCATGAGTATGAGTATTAGTACTATTATTCTACTTTTGAACATCCAGTCCACATATACTAAGTTAGTAGCCTACACCCTCCGAACCTGGCCCCTTTAACGGCCCTCGCCAGCCTCCCTCGATTTCAAATACACGGAACAGGGCAAAACCCTGTTAAGACGTGTCCGGGACCTGAACTGTACGCATCCCGCCTGTTGCATGTTGCATGACATGTACTGTATGTAAGGAGGGGGAGGGGGAAAGAATCCCAGCAAGTTGTATCTTGGCGCAAGCGTTCTCGCCTCTGAGCACAGAACTGGACTACCCGTAGTTGATGATAATGCATCATGAACAAGTCTCGGCGATGGAGAGGGAGCAGTGATTCGTCGGGTGGTGGTTTTGCGCTTTGTGGGTTCCTCCCTCCCTCCTCCTCCTCCCCCACCGGCGGTTCTGTTGCCGCCTTGGGAAGCAAATCAAACGGGGCCCGGTTGGTATGGTTGGATGGTTGGTTTGTTGGGTGGTGGTTTGGTTCCGGCTCCATTCCGGGCCAATATGAATCAAGGTTAAAAAGTGGATTAAGTATATAACCGTGCCCAGCGCACTCACTCCCTCCCATTAGTGAGTGCGCCTCACTGTAAAGGAATTCACACTGTAATGGAATTGGTATCTTTTGTATG